CTGACCTGAGCTGTCCCTCTGATGTGCTCATTCCTAATCTTGTCCATCCTGGTCACTCCTAAAGAGAACCTCAACATCCTCATCTCTGCTACCTCCATCTCTGCCTCTTGTCTTTTCCTCACTGCTACAGTCTCTAACCCATACAGCATAGCTGGTCTCACTACTGTCTTGTACACCTTTCCTTGACAGTAGTGAGACTTTGGTTTTTCTTTTAATCTCACCCACTGCTCATCGTTCTCTAACAGTGTGAGAAAAATGAACTTACTTCTGACACGGGGTGTGTTTCTTGTGCTGCTGCAGGACTCTGATCCTCTGGTTCAGGCCGTCGTACGAAACGGCGGCTCGGCTGTTCCTCCCGGTGCTGTGGTCGTACAACACCCACCGTCCTTCCCACTGCTGCGGTGCAAGGCAGGGCCCGGGCCCCGCGGGAACGCCCAGGGTCAGGGGGGCGAGAACGGACACCCCGGCAGCGGCCACGAATACAAACAGTGGATGCATAGCGACTGGGAAAACACGGCCCAGATAACAGTCCCGTTGCTTTTATTAGGGCTGTACCTGCTTCCGACAAGCAGGCGATAACAAGGTAGAAAAAGATTTCCGGATGTGTCTTTCAAAATAAAAGCATCAAGTGGAGAGAAAAAAACTATAGCAGAAAGAATTTCATTTAGGTCACATAAATTTTTTTTAACTTTTCTTTACATGTTTAGTCATTAGAAATTTATGAAGACATCCAGCTCTCTAAAAACGTAATCAAACACAGTTGCAAAAGTTAATAGTATATAAAGAGGCTGGAATATTTTATTTGGAATAACAAAGCAATGTGTTCAAGCACAAGGTCGCTTTGTAAGTGATGAAATTCAAGCCGTGCTTTGGTTTTTCTGTATCACTATCACACATGCAATATTATTTGACTTAAAGTAAAACCCGTTCAAATCATCCTTTTTATGTGCTGCTCGCTTCAAGAAATAAGAGAATAGCCATTATTACACGGGGCTTGGTCCTTCGCCAAAATCTACTGTATTTTCAAATGACATCGTAACACATTTACAATGGAAATATATATTGATCTTATCCCATGAATATTTGGCGATAAAATGAGAGAAATAGCTATCATGTAACAATATTTATACTTCGGTTCTGTTTTTAAATGTCCTTTAATATTTCTATGCACAATTCTGTAATTTTCAAAAAAAAGTTTTAGTATACATTATGCTGATAGACTGGCGACCTGTCCGGGGTGCACCCCGCCTCTCGCCCAATTTCATCTGGGACATAAAAAATAAAGGATTTATATTGGAACACATCTAACCATAACTGTCGAGCCAACTAGTACGAGACATTAATTCAATCTTATAATAAGTTTAAGATAGTAAGTATATTACACTCGTGGTATTAATGCAAATCTGAAACGAACTACTTAAATTTAGAAAGACATACATACACATTAGCCTGTTTATTTTTTGGTTGTGGTGCTTCCTTCCGACACTAGAGGGACCAGATGAGACGTTCCCGCCGGTCCTCTTCTTCCTGCGTCACACTGTGGCGCAGCATGATGACGTTTCGTAACTAGCCAACATGGTAAGAAAACAACGTGGAACGAAAACAAGTTCGCCGTCAAAAACGGCGGATAGAGAAAAACGGACAAAAAGTCTGAGTTTAACGCTGGAGTATAGTGACGATGAGGCGCCCGATGAGGTGACGTTTGAAGACTCAAAGGCGCAGGCTTTACGGAGCATGAAACAGGAGCTGGACACGGCCACAAGGTAGCTAACTAGCTAGTTGTGTATGAGACCTTCAAGCCAAAGACTCCATTCGAAACAGTTTGCCTTGATGTGTTTTCGTGCTACTGCTCAGAATAACCAGAACGAGTTAGTCATCACACATTCCTATTTCTTCGGGGTCACTTTTCATATTGGCGGAAACACCTAGCAATGAGCAGCTCCCTATTTAACTCGATACGTATATGGAATTGGTCCAACACTGCTACCACATGTGAGGTTCTGAAACTGGAGAAAAGTCGAAGGGCAGTTGCTGTATGTATATGGAGAGTGTCTGCCAACAGTTCAGAATGTATTGTGTCCGTTTGTGAGTAAAATACCGGAAACACTAACGTTATGTGAGAATTGTTTTAGAGTTTGGTGTGTTGCTCTGTGCAGACAGGAAACATGTTTGCTGTAACAATTCACAGTTTAATATTTAACTACTAGGATACCAGGATATGTTGGGCATGATCGTTGAAGTCATTGGAGCATTGTCATGTTTACAGAGAAAAGGAGCTACTGAAAGAGAAGAGGAGGAAGAGACAGGAACTGTTCCAGGAACAGAAGGTCCGTGCATGTTGTCATAAAACTGGTTCAGAGACACGTGGTGACCCTACACAGCACAGTCGCAGTTTGGTGCAGTGCACTGCACCGCTATAGTAATTACAGAGCTATAAACAGGTTATTTATGTGGAAGTGTGACTTTACTATCCATCTAAATAGATGTTGTCAGTATCTAATGTTCATTTCACAGTGATTTGTGCTCATGTTCTCAGTGATTTTTGGAAACAGTGTCACAATTAATATACCAAGACAGATAAAGCTAAGGCCCCGTTTTAAACACCTACAGTATAATGCATGTATTAAGTAGACACGTGGCTCTGTTGCCAGTAAGAAATTGTCTGTATGTGCCTTAATGACCTGGGATATTATTGCATAACAAATATTGCACATTAATAGCTGCTATGTAGTGGTACTTTTGATTAGGGCAGAAATAGCTTCTTTGCCAGTAAAGCTCTGGTGGTCTTTCTTCACTCTGCCATTTCCCACAGAAAAGAAAACTCTTACCGGCCGACGTGTTGGAGGAAATCCACTCGGTTCCTTTGGGGTATGTTTACTGGCTCAAGTCATTCTGCAGCTCTTTGATGTTGAACATTATCTCCTCCATGTTTGCAAAATGAATATTTAAATCTGTGCCATTTCTCAGGAAACGGAAACAGTCTGAAGATGAAGGTAAAAGTTTTCCACCTTTCTGTCATATTTAAACATTTAGCTGACACAGGTAAGCAGAGCCACAGCAGGTCACTAACAGATGTTCTCTCTGAATTCAACCTGCCCTCAGCAGCTGAAGAGGAGCAGCAGCAGGAGGAGGAAGAGGATGAGACAAGGCAGAAGAAAAAGAAGAGAAGTCGGAAACTGGCACATACCCGACAGTATATAAACCTACGTTTTCATTGTTTTTATCAGTAATTAATCACTCAGCATGTGCTAAAGTTTAAATGATCATCGAAGAGTATTGTTGACTCGAGGTCCAGTCACTTTGGAAAAGGAAAACTGATAAGTCAGGGCACATCTCCTTATTTATCCATCTACTAACTGAAACATAACTTGACTTTGACTGAGTCGTTGTGTCTGCCAGTCTGAAGGGAAACTGCACGGTGACAACAATGAAGGAGCAAACGTTGGGGTCATACCAGCAGCAGGCGGCTGAGGATTTTATCAAGACCAGACTGTACGGACCAGGAAGCTGCAGGACCACAAGTAAGAAGGCAGCGTTCATGCTGCAGCTCAGATATGTATGTAGTCATAGTGGGATGAGGCTTATTGTACAGTGGCTTTTTAAAACCTTTAGCGTTTCCTCAGTGGTATGTTGTTCTGTAGAAACATACAGTAAAACAGTTTACTTAAGTGAAATTTTTGAGTCTGAATAATTAATCTATGTAATGTAGTATTGTATCAGTGCTAAAAACAGACACTCATCCTAATTACACTGCTTATTACTGTTGGTGTTATCCTCTGGAGCTTTCTGACATTTAAAGATAAAAAAAAAACGCAAGCTACACTCTGTGGCAGAAGTCTGCAAAGACAATGATCTGTCTCAATTTGAGCTTTGCTACAGCAATGCCCGTCTCATCCCGCTGAGGCGTCCCCTCTCCTGGGATCCCTGATGGGGAAACGACAGCAACATTCACAGCCGTCAGTCCGACTTCAACCCTTTGTCCACCTGAATGTATTTCACACTTTGTCCCTTTCAGGTAACGAGCTGCTGTCCCTGCAGAACAAGAAGGGGAGGAACAAAGGTGCAGCAGTGCAGTTTGTCAAGGAAGACTGGGGTAAGTCTTGACTTTGTTTTCTTTAATAGATACGGTTGGTGTCTTAACAGCACCGGTAGCAGCGCGGTTCGAGGCTCAGCAGTGTCGGGGTGATTGGCATGTGACACTCACATATACAGTGCTGCTGAGAAACTGTTAGCACACTAGAGCAAGATGGCTGGCATGTTAACACCTTCTGAACTTGTTCTACCAAGTACATTTTGTTCATGTGGATGTTAAATGTTATGTTAAAATCAGCGGACTTATGAGTTTTTAAATTCTCCAATATCAACATTGACGTCAGCCTTAAAGTTGTAGTGTTGCTGGGTCTCTGATCACTTCTTTCTGAACTTCCAGCCTGTAAGCAAAAAGCCAAAGCAGAGAAGCTGAAGAAGAGGTGGATCCACAAGCAGCAGATCCCGCCTTGCTGACCGGGGCCTCCAGACCTGCTCTGAATATTGGATTTAAATAGACACCAGAAACATGGAGTAAGACCTAATTTAAGCTTTGGGCCAGAACTCTGTGTGGACCACAATACTGACTTCATGTGTGCACAGCAGCAGCGTCCATCCCTCAGTCCACCACCAGGACATGTGTATAAGATTTTTAGGAGGACAGTGTGCAACAGAATGGGGAGGCGAGAGCACATCAAAATAAGACTCATTTAACAGATTGACGGAGTTGGAGCTGTTTTCCACAGCTTCACAGCCCATAAATGGGGTTCTGATAAAAGTGGAAAATCTTGTAAGGCTTTAGTACAAGGTTCTAGTATTTCTTAAAGAAGTGAACATGGAGAAAGTTGTTTAGGGTTTACACCCTAATTTGTATCTATTAACTAAGGAAACACATTGCATTCACAAAAATTAGAGACCTCTTGTATTTATGATTATCATTAAGATAATGAGTTGAACGGAATGGTGGAGGTCAGAGTAACTCTGTGATAATTGACTGTACATTTAATGAAACACAGCAAATGTAAACTGCCAGGCAAGGCAGCGTGCTCAGCGTTCTAAACCTAAACAAATCCAGACTAGGAACGGGGCCAAGTTGGTGCCCACAGTGCAACTCACTGTATCCATGACAACATTATACTTCCTATTTCTTATTAAAATTTCTGTTCACAAGCCATGTGACAATTTTTTTTACAGTACTGTGTTGGGAAAAACGGCTGCAGTGATATTTGAACTCGTACTCTGCAGATCATGTAAATGTGAGAAAATAGTAAGTTTTCAATTGTGAGAACAGATACGGACTTTTATACAGAACAGGAAGTGTGTGTTCTTGCACACAAGGAGTTAGACTGTGAGCTGCACCTTGGGCCCTGTGGTACAATATGAACAGAACCTAAAAACCTGGTTGTTGTGAAGTGATCCCAGTTCTGCACCATTTTTTTTACTGCACAAATCTCCATAGTACAAAATCTAAATCTTGTAAATTATGAGACAGCAACAATTACAAGAAAGTTTTTTCCTTCTGTGAATGCAAGTCCATAGCTGATAACCTTGTAGTCAAACTGCAGAGATCTGAAAATGAAGCAACCTTTTTTTTTTTTTTTTTTTCTATAAACGGTGTTACTAAATGCTTATTTGTTACTTGAAATAACTGGAGAGATTGAAAAAAAAAGAAACCTTTTTTTTTTTTTTTTTTTTCTATAAACGGTGTTACTAAATGCTTATTTGTTACTTGAAATACTTTTTGAAACTCAAAGACTTGAGTACACACACTTCACAGCTTGACTACTTTAAATAGCCACTAAATTAGTTGTATGGTAAAACTGCTGTCAAAACTGCATTTTCTATTTGAGTTAGCTCACCACTAAGGTGATGGGAGACAAAATGGTCAAACTACCACTGGTAAATTGATTCAACTCAAAGTCCACATACTAGTTTTTCCAGAGCTTTGTCTTTTGAGGAATACGTGATTGAAAACTCAGAAAAAGTGGACCACAGGTCGAGTTATGTTGTGTCACCACACAAAAGTCGAGATTTAATTTACAGTGACTGTTTTGGATAGAAAGTGGAGCTGAAACCAGATTAAAATGAACATCCACTGGTTTGATGAGCCATCAATTGTTAAAGGTTCTTCAGTGAGAGGTTTAGCTGCTTTTCTTTTTGAATATGATGCTCCATGAAATATCTTTGGGATTTGGACTTTTATTGTGAAGACTTGGGCTCTGCTGAGTTACAAATGACCTTTTTTTCCACTATAGCTTGTCATTTTATAGACAGTTATTCAAGAAAATAACCATGTATCCAATTTCATACCTCAATGTAGCAGTTGAAAATATGACAATTTTCCTGTTATAGTGCTGAGCAGCTTGGTCAATAGAAAAAAGACGATAATTTAAAAAGGGCTCACACACCAAGTCAGCAACCACTGGGCTCTGACTTCCGATGTGGGATGTAGTGTTCAGAATGGGGGTGTAAAAAACAAACAAAAAAAACCCCCCAAAACATCACTTAGGATTAACTGAATTCTGCACATCGACTCCATGAATTCACTGCAAGATGTACAAAACTGGTTTTATGAGCAAGAGACAGACATTAGGTCCAGGCGCCATGCAGCATCCAGACAAGCACTATATCGTCATTTATCATTTTTAATATAAAACTTTTCACCCTCACACAAATTGCACATTTTTGTTTTTCTCCAAATTGACACACAAGTCAGCAATGGACAACTTACTGATGACATCTTCCTTATACACTGAACTGGCTAAAAGGAGAAACAAAAAGAATAAAATACGAGACATCTAACTTGATCTTACCACCACTTTACTATGGCATGCATAGGTTTCAGACCTTACTCAGAAAGAGACAACAGACACTTTGCCTAATAAGTTTTCTAAATGGTGCCATGACTACCCGTGATTAAAAACTAAAAAACAAACAAACAAAAAAAAAACACAAACCAAGGTAAGGAAAAACTCAGCTCCACCATGAGGAACTCCGGACCCCTGGGGAAAACTAGAGGAATAGATAGACATCATATGTAACACCGGCCTCTGCAAACACAGGCTCTGAACACACAGCTGCAACGTCTTCCTCAAGCATTTGGTTCTGTATTTTGTAAATGTAGCCACAGTGTGAGTGACAATCCTGGATGTCATTTATAGTTCTTCCCCGTTGATGCTTTTGAGCACTAAGAGGCTGGTACAAGGAGCTAGGTAGGTAAACATGGTTAGTGATTAGTTGGACTTAAGCAAAATGCTAGCATCGCTGAGTTGAGGCTGACTGAACTAATCTGAGGCTGATAAAAAAAAAAAAGCAACAAAGTTTGAACAAAACTGAATTCTACTACCCCGTAATTAAAGTCAGACTGAAATTAAAACTTTTAGCAAATTATTTTACCTTGTTTGTTTCAACTTCTCCATGGGGGAGTCAATTTTTGATTCATGTTGGTTCTGAAAAATAAGATTAATCCAGTATCTGTGAAGGTGGGTGTTAAATGTAGTTCACATTACTGCTTCAGTTCAGCAACACAGGCAGCTGAACAACTGGGGGCCTAAGTGTGCAGGGGCCACCGATGACTCAGCAGTTGTTACAGTAACATGTACTCAAACCAAATTCTAGTGGGAATGAGCGTTAAAGTGGGCTAACTAGGCTAACTAGGCCTGCTAGCTTCTACTTCAAGTGGAATACAAACTGAACACCACAAGGAGGCTTCCTAAATGATGAATGTTGTAGGACACAGCTTAAACTGCTGATGAAAGGAAACATTTCGAGGCTGTGACTACAGGCCTCAGATGTCCAATCAGTGGTGCACTGTGCAAATCAACACCACTTAAAATGTCTCAAGATGAGACACATCCACTCAGATAGTTGAAGCTTAGACATGGAAATACTTTTATACTCTTGAAAATTAACAAAAGTGAACAATAGCTGCAGTATCACCATCTTTCCTTGCACAATAACCCAAATTTCAGTTTAATTTTAAATCAAACACAGAGCTCATTTAGAGTCCGACTTTGTAGCAGCTCAGTTTTGCTGTTGCTGGTTTTCTGGTCTGAGTCTCCTATCTCTGCCAGATATTTAAAAAAAAAAAAAAAAAAAAAAAAGAGAACACCAGTAATAAGAGGCCCAGGATTTGTCAGCTGCTTGGTTGGACCTTACTATTCTAAACCGAGGAGAAGGAACAAAGGGACGTTTTGGCTCCTGAGGTCACGGATTAGCACAGACACTGATAAAATAAGGACTGATAAGGTTTGCATCAAACTGGCTGTGCAGCTGGGGGGTTTGGGGAACTGGGGTGGGAGTCAAGTAAAATGGAGCCAGAGGTTGTTGCGGGGAGTTTCTACAAAGGGTTTCCATTTCAGACAATCCACACCCTACCCAGAAGTGTTCCGAGTTTGTTCGATAACTGCCAAATTCAGCTGTAGCAACAAATGAGATTACCTCACTGTTTAAGGACTTGAAAGCAGCTGAACGGTGACATACCTGGAAATGGTCACACATACCAGCTTTCCACCTGCGTAGGAACCCCGGGGCTTAGCAAAACGGGAAACAAAAACTTGTACAGATTAGGAACAACCAGCCACTTCAGGGGTCACTGGCATCAGTAAAAGATTGTTTTCCTTTCATTTGATAACTAAATATCTCACTCTATTGATATAATTCCATTTTGTTAAATTCATATATAAATGCTAACATGTACAGACACTCGTCACTGGTACTCGTGGAATCGGGACCTTTATTATAATAAATTGGTGGAACTTGCTCTTGCTGGCGCTCAACAAATATACTGTGAATGTAAGTAACAATAATTAATATAATGATAATTATCTTCTGCACCATTCCTTGTAAACCTGGAAAAACTAAAAACAAACAAGAGCCAGGTGACTTTCCCCCTCCCCTGCCCATGACAAACAAAAAAAAAAAAAAGGTTAAAAACAGGGAACGTTGAGTCAAGAATGGAGATTATCTCTGGCTTCGTCGAAGTCCCGAGTCCACATGCGTCACAAATCTCCACCGATGTCCTGAAGTCAGTGGAGGGTGGAGCCGGTGCAGGGGGTGGGGGTATAGGCAGTCTGTAACGGAGCCTGACATAAGGCTGGAGTCTGAGCACTCAACAAGCCTTGGTGGAGGAGGACTTTCCCATCCTGTCTTCAGCACCAGCCTGCCTCTGTGTTAGCTTGTTTGCCTGTGTTTTATGTGTGTGCACATGTTTGCCTGATAAGCCAGGCTTACCGAGACCACGTTACAGGGTGGTCGGCCACAGCCGTCACTCGTCCGGTTTCTTTTTGTTGTTGTTTTTCTTATATTTCCTTTCATGTTTGACCTGGGGGTGTTCGCCTGTCAGCGCATCCCGGTTCAATGCCTCCAGGTATACTGGGGCAGGTCACCTGTGCCAAGTCCAGACAAGTTTAGATGTCTGAGTATTTTCAAGTTGGCCACGCTTGACTGGCGCCCCTCCCCGACTGTCAGTCAGGACAAAGCAGATGCAACCTCAGAGGGCTGAAGGAGGAGGAGGTCAGGCCAGCCAAGGTGGAGGCTAATTTTCATATTTATGATGGAAAGGGGGGTGGTGTGTGGGTAATGTATGCGGTTTGTGTTGGCAATCTAAAGAGCTGCGCAGAAATGACTCCTGGTCCTCAGCAGTGTTTGTCAGTCAGTAAAAGCAGAACAAAAAGCAAGTAAGATGGTTAACTCTGTACTATTTGTTACTCTGCAGAGAAACGCCTCCTCAGCTTAAGAGACTACACCGACAGAGGAGGTGGTGAGAGACATTTCTGGACAGGTCCTCGGTGTGTGTGGGTGCATGTATACATAGGGCTAGTGCAGGTAATCGTCCACAGAGGCGAAGGCGCAGGAGCCGCTGCCAGTCCGTGCCATGATGGCGAGGCACTGGGCGGCCTGACCCACGGCCTGGGCCAGGGGGGGCTGCTTGGGCAGGTTGTGAGTCTCTGAGGAGAGAGAGGAAGAACAACAGCATCAGGGCTGCAGACAACAAATAACAGGAGCCTGACTGTGCATTTTCTCCAAGTACACAAATAGTTTCAGCTTTAGTCAGAATGTGGAGGCAAGTTAAGGATGAGTTGCTCCATGTAATCATTCATCCAGCCACTTTGCTGCTCTTTTCCCTCCCTACGATGAAACCTGCTTTCCCACGAACATGGCTAAAGTTGGAGTACAATAGTATATATTCAGTATTATCCCGTATCAAATCCACTTATCAGACCTGAATCTATTTGAATCCCTTATGAAATGTCATGAAGTTCAGTGATTTCAAATAACTTGAGGCGGGGAAAAAAAAAAAAAAATTCCAACTCTCAGATTCACTTTGTATCTCTGATCAGCTGTTGTTGGTCATGAAATACTGAGGTTTTTACTGGTGGCTACTAAATCAATTAACATTAATAATACTCAAGTTTCACAACCTGAAATGTGGATCTGAAATGTTGGTTGACACCGATTGTTGTGACCCATTGAAGTAACAGCTTCACAATAAACATTGGCTCTCCTGATTCACAACTCTGAGCTTAATGATCTCCAAACATTGATCTGATCCGCAGAAAGCAGCATTCCAAGAAATCTGCATTCTCCAGGAGAAATCTACCTGGAAAGATTGAGTTTCTCTAATCCACTTCCCCATTCACTGAATATGTATAGTTTTATGTTAGTTCCATGACTTCCAATCCTTAGATTTCTGCCTCAAAGTCCACTTACTACCTTTGTTCAGAGCACTCAACCACATAAACCCAGCATACAAAAGTGCACAAAACATGTCGCTCTGAGGAGTAAAACGACTTTAAACAAAGAGTTACAGGATTCAGATGCTGGGGTGGTATAGAGCTGAGGTTCAGAACAGTTTGGTCAGTGACTGTCTTCTATTTAAACACAGGTAATATGGACCGCATGCACAGCTGACCTACCTAATATTGCACTGTTGAGAGTGGAGCAGACCGGCTCTCTCTGGATGGCGTCCAGCTGGTAGCCGACTGGGCTGTTCCATGGGTCTGAGTAGGCCAGCAGGCTGAATGCATCCTGCAGCAGGAGAGAGCCACAACCACAGATCATACAGCTTCAATTTCTCTTCCATGTGCTGGACAAGTATAATGCACCATCAGTGATGTGATGTTGAGCTCCTACAGCTACTTTGTTGTCATTACACTTTCTTGTAACCTTTCATATTTAAAGGAATAGTTTGACATGTTGGAAAACACTTAAACGTTTGTCTCCGCGTGGAGCGGCAGCTGCCCCGAGCAGCTCTCGCTCTATTTGTTTGTTTTTTCGATTTTTCTAGGTTTTCTGTGTTGCTTTTTGTGCTGTGTCGCTTTCCCGTAAACTTTTGGGAGTTGGGCTACCAGGAACACAAGTTTTATTGCGTTTGCATTATGTTTTTATACTTTTTACAAAGTTTTGAGTCTG